TTTTAACTGTCGTGCGCGCTCGGATGACTGCAATTTAGCGTGAATCCCCAGGGAGTTAGGTCGATCCGGATGGATCTATCTAAATCTCTAGGAATGCACTCTTCCTAAGTGGATAACGCAATCTAAAGATTCCACGGTTCGTGTCAAATTTACGTAAGGTCGCCAAAAGAAAACCCAAGTCCACATAATGACCAGTTAAACGATTTATTCGTTAACGCTCGGTAGCTACATATTCTAAGTGAAGTTTCTTAACTCGTCTGCTCCGTACTCCGTCGCTCCCAACCTCCTTCTTCGCTGTCTCCTCTCGCTGTACAACAGAATATATTAAATTTCTATGAGTTTTTATTGTGAAAAATGTTTTTATTGTGAAATATAGATCTCATACGAAGAGTTATTATCTCTCTAATGGAAGGAAATTAACATCAGGATTCAAAATGTTTCCAACAATTTTTACTCCCTGATTGCAGCAATTTTTAATGAAGACAGAATTTTGGTTTACTAAAAGTGAATTATTACCTTAACAGAGCCCTTCGGAGATCTACATGTAATTCCGACTTTATAGAAACGTTTTGTTGCTTGCATGTTGTATGCCAAGGACTAAAATATCTCTCTAAAAGGGTTTATTGTAGTTGAACTCTTCCTCGCTTTGTTCCTCTCTCTCAACCCAAAATACGGCGCCTGTCACTATGAAGACATTTTCAAATAAACAATATCTATAAATAAGGGAAATGTGCCATAGACAGCGATGTTTTGTCTCAACCATGATTGTGACGGCCTCCATGAATATGACTCAATTGTGATTGTGAAGACAGCGTGAGATGGACGGGGGAGAGGGAGCTCGTCGTCGGTCAATTATCCCAGCTTTGGATCAATGATTTGTCGAAATGACCAAATGAAAAAATCTATAACTGTTTTGTTGCATAGTCACGGATTTGTTTCCACGACAGAATTTAGAGTTTGCTGATAGAAATTCAGATTTCTTCATTCATATAACCTACACTTTCATAAATAAGGTACAATAATCAGACAAATACTACTACTGTAACTAGGTTGTTACACAAATAAATGAGCAACACAGATTTTTTTTAAAAAGCAAATAGTCAGCGTAATAACACATATGAATGTATATTATGTTGTATCTGGCAAGACGTGCACTATGTAAAAGTTGTGATTGCACAAACAGAACGAAACGATAATTTATAGTAGGCAAATCACAGGGACACTAACTCTTATATATATCCAAATATATCTTATATCCAAATAAATATATCGGAAATAAATGATGTAGCTATAAGGCGATATGCTACTGCAGCGTAACATAAATGACAAATTTATAAAGCATCACATAGGTTTTCTTAGGCGTATTCGCAACCAAAGTTTGCATTCACAACAGCGGACTAACAAATATGGCCGACCCATTTGAATGCTTGTTGCGTTATCCCCGCGGGGAGTCTATTCAGTGTCTATTAGGGGATCATGTGGCAAGTTTATAAGTGTATCTGTCTTATTTGATCCGCAGTAATTATAGTCCGCGGATCGACTCTGTGGTGGATGCGCCCTTACTTACAACGCAAGTCTTGGTGGAAATATTCTGTAAAGGTTAATATTAGATCTACGTCTTGTAAATATAGCGCACGCGTTCTTACGGTCTAATAAAGGGAACCGAAGGAGACAGGATAGTGCCGGAAGTGACGTCTAGTGGTGTAAGACGTGAAACGGAGTGCTAAATGTTTAGCTGGAGGTGAACGGGAGGGAAGACGTGGGCTCAGAGAAAAAAAAACGGTTTTTCCAAAAACACGGCAAGATAACGTTTTTCTTTTGGCATTTTGGCCAGAGAATACTTGTAGAAATAATGCCAGTAGGTACATAATACGAAAAGATGTTACTCTCTTAATAGATTATTACAAATAAAAAAATAATAATAAACAAATAAATAAATTTTTTAGAAAAAACACAGGGACTAACCTTTTTGGCCAAAATGAACAGTTGTTATCCCTTTAATTACCCCCTAACAGTTTCAGTAGGCGAGCCAGACATCTAGGCTGCTTTAGTTGATTGGAATTTAGCGAGAATCTCCTTGAAAACAGATCGATCCACAGTTAGTACGATAGGGTCTGGAAATGGTCCCTAATGCCCCTATTTCACACAGACCACGAATCCCACGAATCGCTAGGAATTGACAAATTTCAGGATTCGTGGTTGAATCGTAATCAGTTCGTGAAGTTCTTAACAGATTCGCATATATTCGTAGTCAGTCCTTGCAATTCTTGACCAACAGGAATTCTTGGCAAAAACTTTGATGCCCCTATTTCACACAGACCACGAATCCCACGAATCGCCAGAAATGGACAATTTCAGAATTCGTGGTTGAATCGTAATCAGTTCGTGAAGTTCTTAACAGATTCGTATATACTGTAATCGTAGTCAGTTCTTGCAATTCTTGATCAATCGGGAATTCGTGGCAAAAGTTTTGAGCTGTTCAAAATTTTGGCCACGAACTCCCGATTCCAAAAAAATGGTAGTGAATTCTTGACAATATTCATGCGATTCCAGCCGAATCCCACGAATATTCGTAACACTATCGCACCTGTATCATAACTGAATCGTAGATCGTGTCGAATTAGGCCAGAAAATTTGCAAAATCTCACGAATCCCACGAATTCCTGGCGATTCGTGGGATTCGTGGTCTGTGTGAAATAGGGGCATTAGGGCTGCATTTTTCTGTCTGCGTATTCTAGTTCAAAGTTGTTTTCTGTGTTTTTAGGTTCATTGGCCATATGTAAAATTATCATGATCTGTTTATGTTTTGGCCTTATGTTCTCCGTTCGCCTCCTGGTGCTATTTCCGTTCCAAGTCCACACTTTTAACAGGACAATTACATAAAACCTACACAGAATCTGTCATTTTTGTAGAAAAAAAGCGGAAAGCCCGTGCGTACGCCTGTATAGGTACCCTTTATTGATTTTAAAAAGATAAACTTTGAGATTCGAAATTCCCAAATAAATACACTGTAAACAACACATAGATATATAATAAATGTCATTTTTACCACCAAAACAGCTGTTATTACAATTATTCTTATTTGACATTGCCAATGGTCCACGTGGACATCCACATTTGGCTATCCCCTCTTAAGCGGTCTCTTCAGAGATAAACGTTATTGAAAAAAAACGCACTTAGTTCTACAGTTTAAAAAAAAACTCACTTTTTTGGTTAGTGTGGAACATTGTCGTTCACCACAGGAAAATCCGTTTTATTGTATTTTTCCGCCAAAATGAGGCGTTGTAATCTCTCTAAATGAATAACAACCTAAGACGGCAGCCTGTGGCCTGAGACGGTACGACTCTCGGATGCAGCAAACACCCTCTGTTTTACCGGAAGTCTAACCAGAAGTCCGCTTAAATCACTCGCTTAATCGATAGTGATCTGAAGGTCAGGTATGTAGGAATAAACACACACACGCACACACAGAAAACTTCATTTCGTTTTATTCAATTAAGGCGATCATACAATGTAGCTCTCTGTGCCAGGGGTAGAGTGCTAAATTACATCCGCTGTTTTACTTCTAGGTTAAAGAGTCAAATCCACGTTAGTGCTGAACTTGAATCACACGACTCTATCATTATTCTTCTAATAACATTTGAAATAGCCACATAGTATAGAGACGTTAATACACAGTACTAAGTCAGTACTAGTTAGTTACTGGAAACCAACAGCGATCTGCCTGATCAATAGCATCAACAACTTTTTAAGTTCTATTTTTGATGAGAAATTTCACGTCATACATTATTGATTTAATATGATAATTGTTCGGCACTTTTGCAGTATTCTCCCACTCTGTGATATTCAATCTATATATATTTTCTAAATCAGTTCTTGAGGTGACTTTGAACAATGCCTTCGCTGCTCAAATTAATCAGTTGGGCAATTCAATTAATAATTTTAAGATGCTTTCTACATGAATCATTATGCCTTCCAAACACGAGAGCCGAGGTTATCCCTGGGATGAAAATTTGCTGTAATCTCATTGGTCAAAGAGCTAAAAGGTACACTAAAGAGGGTTTTGGCACCAAAACTCATATTTATAAGAAATTATCCTCTTTAATGGCATTTTCCACGGATTTTCCTTCCTGTTATCTTTTGCTAGTCACATTTTCTGAATATCCATGATACCTTTATATTATTATTAAAATTGGTGGTTATTATGCTGTCAAGCATAGGTAATATTGTGTCAAATGTGAAGAAATCCCTATTTTGGACACTGTTGCCATGATGACCCTTTAGGGAAAACCATGTTACTTATGATTCTCAGACATGCAAAGAAGATACGTAGGACTAAAATGCAGCCTGAGTTCGAAAAGCAGTCTAATAGAGGGTATCGGAAGAGACAGGATTGTGCTGGAAGTGACGTGTAGTGGTGTAAGATGTGAAGTTGAGTGGTCATTTTTAGCTAGAGGTGAATGGGAGTGAAGATGTGGGCTCATAGAAAAGAGCAGTTTTTCCAACAACATAATGATATAAATTTTTTCTTTCGGCATTTTGGGCAGAGAATACTTGTAGAAATAATGCCAGTATGTACATGATATGAAAATGCGTTGCGATACTTGAAGGTGCAAATTCTTGCTTTATTCGCAGTAAATAAATGTTTAGAAATATATGCTGCATCGACCGACAGTGCGACAAAGAACGTCAAGGGAAAAGAATTCCCGCGAGGCTGTAAATCATTGTTATGTGCAAATTTTACATACATGTATATAATCTGATATGCCCGTATCTAAATATTTTTGGGTGTTTTGTGGTGTGTGCTGCAATATTATAACGACATTTAAGAGTCCTTAAAAGACCTTGTGAAAACCAGGAAGAAGTTCGCAACTGACAAGTGAATCTGCCAAAATACCAAAGGAAAAATGTTTGCTTATTATGTTGTTGGAAAAACATCTTCACTCCATCTTCACTCCTGTTCACCTCACTCCTGTTAATCTCACTCCTGTTCACCTCACTCCTGTTAACCTCTTGTTGAAAATGACCACTCAGCTTCAAATCTTACACCACTTGATGCCACATGATGTCACACTTCCGGCACAACCCTATCTCCTCTGGTACCCTCTATTGGCTTCTTTTTCTGGAAGTAATACATTTTTGTAAAATTTTCATTTTTTACTTATTAGTATTCTCAATGTAGAACTATGAATTTCCATGGTCTTGAAGCCCAATTGTCATAAAATTTTCTAAATATCAAGTTATTTATAGTAGATGATTAAAAATTGATGTTGCACTCGGAGGAGATTCTGACGCCTGGACACATACGCAGTAATAAGTTAGAGAGAAAGAAAATGATGGTCGCGGTTGCTTTGAAAAATGTGTTTGTCGATTTTGTGCAACAACAAATCGAAAAAGATGAGGTCCATATACACGCGACAGATATGAGTGCAAACTGATGAAATCCACAGTTTAGAGTTACTACTGCGCGTGTGTCCAGGTCAGAATCTCCTCTGAGCGCAGCCAAGAATTAATCACAGCTTTGAAAATGACTCGCTCGCGCTGCTAGTTAATTACACCGTGGGGTATTCAGGGCACAGACCGTGATCACTAGATACTGTCAGTGGATTTTTGGAATTTGGATTTTTCATGTGAACAGTGCTTAAGAATAGATTCATGCTACTTTGCTAAAATATGTGCAATTTTTGGGATGATAATTAATATTTTTTACTCTCATTATCGGCTCTCGTTACAATATGGTACCACACATGCATTTGTGACACACATAAAGGCACCCTTAATGCCTCTTAATATCCGTTTCTCAAAGTTGACATCAACACTACTGTGAACTGTGTGTATATATATATATATATATATACATATATATGTTCATTTTTTCCGGCTATTGTGTGCTCGAATTTGGGGATGTTAAGTGATAATTTCTATACTCTCAATATCGGCTCTCTTTGAAAAATGGCACCACATATGAATCAGCCGATACATTGCTTTAAAACCAGTTATATATCAGCTCACCATAGATCAATGCAATCTTGGAAACGATTACAAGTATAGACAATTGCCAGAACCCGTTTTAATGAGGTAACGGGAAAAAGAAATAGATACTGAAAACCAGAAACAAATTTCCACATGTTGACGCAAGCTGATGTGCTTGCAACTGCAAGATGGCGGCAATGCTGCACCATAGCAACCATGAGGGACAACGAGAAATTGTGTTATCCATGCAATAGAACAAAAGAAATTCACTGAGGCATAGCACGCGCTACCCGTGGAGCTATCAAAACAGCTTATCTGAGACAATGGGCGAATGTTTACCTGAACGCACATTGCTTCAAAGGAAGATGCCGCATTTCACGTCCTTTTGTTATTATGTCCAAGACTTATAAATAGGAATGATTCTTGGAATTGACATACAGCTCAAATTAGAATACCCACTCTATTGGATTATCATTTTGATTGAATTTATGCATTTTATTTTGTGTGTGTGTGTGTGAAGTTCTCATTTTTCTCATTCTGGCATTTTCAAAGTGTGGACTTGAACTCTCATGGGTATGAAGCCTTATGCTTGTTACACATTTTACTTATATTGGTATTACCTGTTGTGCATAATTACAATTAGATGTTGACTTTACAGTTAAGCATAATGTATTATTGCATCAGAATTGACAGTAGCCTATTTTGTGCATTATTATTATTATTATTATTATCTGCATTTTGTCTTTACACTTGACAGCTTTGCTGCCCAGTTGTATTCAAAAATATTTATCCACTCCTTATTTCCAGAAATGTTTTATCTCATACCTCTAGTGAAAAAATACACATGATATCATTTTACACGAACATGCCAGGGCTAAAAAGAATCTGATATTAAATATAATTAAATCCATTTTAGACCCTAGAAATTATTTTATGGCAATGGAAGATCTTGCCAAACTTGTGTTAATAAGTTTGTAAAGTTACATATGAAGTGAGGATAGATTCCTTGTAATGCATATAAATCACTACTACCAGTATCTCATACAACCCTTAATGACATGAGAAGTATGCAGGAAACTGTTTCCAGGTTGCAAGAAAAAATTTTTCTGTAATTTACTGAAAATAGCTTTAAAACTGCACCTTCTTTAAATTTATGGACATAAACCTAACCTACTTATCTGTCCTTCCTGTGACATAGTAATTTATGATGTATTTATGCTGAGGAAAATGATCAAGGGTAATACATAGCATAGAAAGAAAGAAAACCCATCTATTCAAATATATCCTTAATAGTAAGTCATGCTTTTTGAAATAACATGGTGGCAATGATTTGATATGTCAACTTGCTTCAAATGCATCTTTTAAAATTTGTTTCCATTTCAGCTTTGGTTTTTCATGGTTTGTGCTTTACTTAACTGCTGATTTACCTCTCATAGGCTACACCCAGAGAGTTGTTTGATAACCTTTGCTTAAACCCCCTTCTCATTGGATGGCATCCTTTCAACCTTCATTGTGCGACCATGAAACTGGCATTGCTGTGGTTGTAAAAAGGAGGCACAAGCATCCCTTTTTGTTGCAGAATGAATGCTCATTAATCGTCCATTTGTCAGCACATAAAGTTTTTTTTTTTTTCACTCTCAAATGGGGCCGCACTACGGGACGCAGAGAGGACGCTGTCCAGTGTAAAGGGGCTTCGTTGAGTTTATCGGGAAAAAGACATGTACCAAGAGCCAAGCTATTGTAATGATCTCCTAACATAATATAATAAGCTCATCTGAGTTGGTGTTGACTTGTCTGTTAAGTACTGTTGAAACTTAGGATGATATAACATAATTGTAAATTATGATGAAAAAGTCTGTGTTTAGTTGGTTTGACAAGTTAGGTTTTAAACATTAGTGAATACAGTTTTATCAAGATTCACATCAAGGGGCTCGATCCTGTGAACTGATGCATGTTTCCATCAGTACCCTTATATTTTCTAAAAAATACCGTTGTTTATCTGTCCACATGTCAAACACCAACATTAAAATCTGTCCACATACGGGCCATTCACTCTACCAAGTAAAAACTGTGGTCCAATAAGCCCCAGTAGAACCACAGTCGAATAAACCCATTTTGCTTGCATTCACACTTCTTTGGCCAACCTTTGCCCCTTGTCAGTCTTACTTCCTGTTAGGCATGCATGCTAGTACTATTTTTCTTAGCAAAAAGTGATATTGATCAATGTGAACAATATGGTGGGAGTACAAGTAGGGATGATTGTTATGCAATGTAAAATATTCAATTTATTCGTAAAAATAATATTTTTATAAGAAAAAGCAGTACACATTTGACAGTTCTGTGAATAACCATGCACTGAAATATGAAAAATTGCCCACCTATGCGCATGCCTTTCAAAAGTAAGCATCTCGTTTTGACTGCAATTTAGAGTTAAGTGCTATGGAACCCAAATCCCAGTCTGGGT